TCTCTGCTTAAGATAAGGACGATAAAAAAAAACTACCAGGTTGCTCTAAGGACCAAGTAAGTAGCACAAAGGGCTTAGCCACATAGTGAGTTCCAGGTTACCCATCATCTAATCTTGTTGCTATTGAGGATACAAGAAGCTACGTTGTTCTTAGCGTGATACTTTGCTTGATATCAGCAGCTGTAAGACTAAAAGAATGCCCACACGGCAGGCAAAGATGTTGTAGTTCCTTTCCGGTTGCATCCTGCAAATAAGTGATTCCCAGGGCCAGAGAGATGGCTCACTGCTTAAGAGCACCAGGTGCTGTTGCAGAGGACCCAGGTTTCATTCTGAGCACCCAATTGGCAGCTCACAATCCTCTGTAACTCCAGTCCCGGACATCTGATGCCCTCTTCTGGCCTCTCTAGGTATTGCACACTTGGTACATAGACACATACACAGGCTCAATGTCTATACATATATATGGATAGACAACGATATATACATATATACACATACATATATGTGTGCATATATATGTATATATATATATATATATATATGTTTGTGTGTGTGTGTATAGTCTCTCTCCTTCCTGTTGTTTCGATGGCATTTGTTTCAGCAAATAGAATCATTTATGGTATGATCTCTCTTATTTCCATCTTCCAGGCTATCCACTGCCAGCATCACTCCTCAGGGACCCAATTTTTATGCAGAATCAGCCAAAGAAGGCCTCCACTTTAACCCACAGTAACATTCAATTCCAGTAAAAACTCAGAGAGGAAAGCTGGCTAAGAACTATCTCTCTGTTAACTCGAAATGACCCCAGAAAGCACTGAATCTTTCAGAGAACACGTTTGTGTGCACAGGGTTGAGGGATTTTAAAATCCACACTTCTCTTCAAGACTCAGATAATTTTAATAACCACTTTATATAGCCAACTTCCAAGACCCTCCCCCCCCCCCCCCCCGGGTGTACGTGTGTGTGTGTGTGTGTGTGTGTGTGTGTGTGTGTGTGTGTGTGTGTGTGTGTTGACGGTGAAGGGTTGTATTCAATTATTCATTTATTCAGTACTTTTGAGCACACACACTGTGTGGGACTGTTGCAAGTTTTATGGGAAAAGCTATGAAAATATGAGACAATTATTGTTACTCACATTAGAAAAAAGTTAGAGCCAAATGTGGTGGCTCATGCCTCTAACTTCAGCTACTCTTAAAGAGGACACTAGATGATGTCAAGTTCAAAACCTGAGGCCTGCCTGGGATACAATGGGAGTTCAAGACTATCTGAACTTTGTAACTTGAGCCTTGTTCCAAAAAAAAAAAAAAAGATTTTTTTTTTTTCAGGACTAGGGATGTAAGTCAGTGGTCTAGCACTAACACAGAAAGTGCTAGGTCTGCAGTTAATGGTTTAATCCCCAGCACTGGGGAGAAGAGAGGAGAGGGGACAGGAGAGAAGGGAAGGAAAGGAGAAGGAGGAATGGGAAATTGAACAGTTTTCTAGACAATATTCGTCACCTTCTCCAAATCTAGCTAGACTTACGATTAATCATTTGTTATAAAATAATTATGGGTTTATTGTTTGTTTTCTGAGATAGAGTCTTACTATATATCCCTGACTGGCTTGGAACTCACTATATAGAATCAACCTGTAAGTCATAATCCCTTTAGGGAGGTTGAATGACCCTTTCACAGAGGTCGCCTACAACCTTCAGAAAACACAGATACTTACATTATGATTCATAACAGTAGCAAAATTACAGTTATGAAATAGCAACAAAAATAATTTTGTAGTTGGGGGCACCACAACATGAAGAATTGTATTAAACGGTCACAGCATCAGGAAGGTTGAGAACCATGGTATAGAGCAAGCTGCTCTCAAATTCACAGAGATCTGCTTGCCTCTGCCTCCATAGTACTGGGTAGGATTCCAGGTGCATATGCCACCATCTCAGTTTACATATAATAATTATGAAGTTAGACTAGACTTCCAAAATAATATGAATTATGTCACTTACTATTCAAGGGTTCTTGTCCGAGTACATCATTTTTTAAAAAGATTTATTTGTTTTATGAATATGAGTGCTCTATCTGCATGTATGCCTCTACACCAGAAGAGGGTACCAGATCTCATCATATGTGGTTGTGAGCCACCATGTGGTTGCTGGGAATTGAACTTAGGACCTCTGGAAGAGCAGCCAGCACTCTTAACCGCTGAGCCATCTCTCCAGCCCCCAAATACTTCAGGTTTTTTTAATCTTGGTATTTTAATCTGAAAAAGGAAATAGCTAACACCACCTGCCTTGTAGGGATGTTTTAAAAATTAAATTAGATGTAGTAATTGACCATGGCCTGGCACATGGTAAATTTTCAATGAAAGAATTATTATTTAAGATTAACACCTGAATCAGCAAGCTCATTTATCTTCTTTTTCTCATGATTTGAAACATGTTTCTCTGTTGTGCTCTAAGACTTCTTTGTGGCCAGAAGTTCTGAGGCTGGCTAAGACATGGATGTACAGATGAGCACTTCCCTGAAGATGAGAAATCCATAAGCCTATGGTCCCGAGACCTCATGAGGTCACAGCAGGTACTTTCAAATCAGCTCTTACAAAAATGACTGTTGTCTCAGAAACAGTATTTAAGCTGCAAACAGAATCCATTCTTTTTTTTTAAGATTTATTCATTTATTTTATGTACATTGGGGTTTTGCCTGCATGCATCCATATGAGACTGCCAGCTTCCCTGGAACTGGAGTTACAGACAGTTGTGAGCTGCCATTTGAGTGCTAGGACTCCAACCTAGGTCCTTTGTAAGAGCAGCCAGTGCTCTGAAAGGCTGAGGCCCCTAGAATCCATTCTTAAAGTTTTAGAAAGAAATCAAAGGACTGAAGCTACACACGTGTCCCTCCGAGTGGTGATTTTTAAGATTTTTTTTTATTTCTAATTATGTGTACATATGTGTGCAGAGGTGTTGGGGAAGCCAGAAGAGGGTGTCAGATCCCCTGAAATGAGTTACAAACAGTTGTAAGCAGCCATATGTGGGTTCTAGGAACCAACCTCAGAACCTCTGTAAGAGCAGCAAGTGCTCCTTACCAAGGAGTCCTCTCTCCTGCCCCTCTTGGGGGAAAGTCTGTGCTGTTAGCATCTCTTGATTAGGAGATATTTGAATTAAAACAGAGGAACTGCCTGGTGGAAGATATTTTCAAAAGTGCTAGGCTTGTGAGAACAGCAGAAATGCTATAAGGGCTCCAGTGGAGTCAGACTGATTTCTGTAGACTGATTTCTGGTTGGTTGGTTTGTTTACACCTCAACTCCCAGAAGTGATGGTTAAGAGGACTCGTTAGCATGTAATGAAAAGAACGATGGCATACTAGTAGAAAATCACTTCTGTGAGTTTTTTTGAAGACTCCAGGTTGAAAGGCCATCCTTTAAAATTCCCTGTTTCTTTTGCTACTTTAGTTTGTATTGAGATGGGGTCTCCTACGTAGCTCAGATGGGTCTAGATTTCTCCAATTTCCTGCCTCAGCCTCCTGGTGAGTGAAATTTCAAGTGCACATCTCTGCACCGGATACCGGGTGCCTGGCCATTTCAGTGGTGCCTAACTAATTGGATTAGCAACATCTTTAGGAAACTGCAGCCCTGCCAAGTCATTTTTCCGCTATCATCAGAACTGTATACGTCATCGTTTCCAGGATGGGTGGCACTCTCAGCACACTGTTTTCTGTTGGCACTTTGATATTCTCAGTTCTCAATGGCAGGCCAAGCAGCAGTAAACTCCAGTTCTAGGAAACTTTGGCAATTATAAATTTGTTAGTCATATCTGTTACTGAAATCGCCATTTCCTTCCCCTTGGAATTAGCACCTCCCCTCTTCCTGAGAGCCAAGGGGAAAAGGTGCCTTTGAACTATCCAGGATTAATCTTTACTTCCCTCCCTTCTCCCGGTCTTCCGTTCTCCCTTTCTATAGTCCTGACTTTCAATCGTGCACCCTCATAGGAAGGGAGGTGATAACTTGAAGTGTCTGCTTGGAGTCACTTCCCTGCTCCCATCCTCTCTACCACTAAAAGCAAGCGGAAGTGACTGAGAAATCCCTGGAGGGTCGAGTGTCCCCGGGACCAAACACCTTCTCACCCCTTCTCTACTCCCCCTCAAATCTTGGGCAGCGTCGGGGGCTCCCAAACTGCACAGTAAACTTCTTAACCTTTTGTGAGCGTGGACCTACAGAAACCTGCAGAGGCAGGCTCTAGCCATGGCGACAGAAGTCCGGGGAAGACCTGGGTTTAAACTGTTGCGAAACTTTCAGGGAACTACGGATCTGAAACACACTGGAACCATAGGATTGAGATCCCTGACTCTAAAACTCTTAACTTGGGGCAATTAAATGGAGAGTGGAGTTCAGGTGACAAATCTGGTTCCTAGTGATCAAGTGTAGGATTGGGGCTCCGGCGCTGGGCTACTTTCTCTCTAAGGAATCCCAAGTGGGGTGGTGGAGAGAGATGGGTACAGAATGAAGGGGACAGGCAGAAATGGGGAAATGGAGAAGGTACAGTAGAAAACAGGGTAGGAAGAGACCTTCGGAGAGGAGGGACAAGGGCCCAGAGAGATCCTCACCAAGAACTGGAGAGGGAGAGATTCCAAACCGGAGAGACCGAGGTAGGAGAGGAGAGTCGGGGTGAATGGCAGGGCGCCACCGAGGAAAGAGAACTTTCTCTGCTCTCCGTCTCTAGCTGAGAGACTTTGAAAACCCCACCTCGGGGAGGTGACGCGGACGGCCACTGATTGCTCGGGCGCTGCGGGGGCCTCTGGCCTCCGCCTCCAGCAGCTGGAGGGGCCTAAAGCGGCGATTCCTGGCACCGGCGGCCGAGGAGGGGACAGGATCTGCAAGGAGGCGGGCCGCCTGCCTCGTTTTCTCCTCCCCTCTCCTCCTCCTGGAGGCGTGCACCCAGGGTATTTGAGCGCCCGCGGGGGCCCCCGCCCCCTGGCCCCCCATTCAAGAAGCGGCTCGGCTAACTCGGCCAGCACAGGGCGCCCGGCGCGCCTCGGAGCGCACGTTCCGCGCCTTCTCCTGCCCGCTGGCTGGACATTATGCGGCCGAGCAACCGAGCCCCAGTCCTCCGCCTCCTTCTCCTCCTCCTGCGGCCCGAGCCGCTCAGCTCACGGCAGGCGGCAGCGTTGCTCAGCCGAGCGCAGACGGGACCCTCTCTGCAAGACCTCAGCGACTCCTAAAGTCAAAAAGTTGGCGGCAGGGCGCCGGGGTTCCGCGCGCTCTCCACTGTTTCTGCCTCGCGTCGCCGCCAGCCACCAAAGCCGGCAGGAGGGAGGGGGTGGGAGAAGCGGGGGGGAGGGGTGAGGAGCACCATGCAGTTAGTATCCTGGGCCACACTGCTAACGCTCCTGGTGCCGGACCTGGTTGAGATGAGGAGCCCTGACGCCGCGGCGGCCGTGCGCAAGGACAGGCTGCACCCGAGGCAAGGTAACGTGGCTCTGGACCCTCAAGGTCCCCCCCTCCACCACCACCACCACCACCACCACCACCACACACACACACACACACACACACACACACACACACACACACACACTCACACACACTCACACACACTCCATCGCCACCTCCTCGAACACGCTCCGGGGCGGGTACCCCGCAGCAGAGGCCTCTCTCCTTTTCCTAGAAAGAATTACCTCCCGTTTTGGAGCCTCTCCCTTCTCTGGGTCATCCCTAGCCAACTATTAGGGAGGGAGGCACTGCAGGAATTTTAGGGCCACCCCCAGCTCTTTTTTGCCTGATTTTTACTCTCCTTATTCCCTGTCCCAAATCAATGCTACTTAGTAGCTGGGTAGCTGGGATCCCCGGAGAGCGCACATTTTATTTTATTCAGGAATTTATCAGAACCTGTAATTATCTTATGTTTCTAGATTTGTTCATTGTCTGACTTCTAACGCTGTATTCTCAGCGCCTCGCTTAGTTGTCGGCTGTTACTATTACAGTAGGCGCTCGACAAATATTTGACCAGAGATGGAAGGTGAAAGAATTGACACGAAGGGACTGCAAAATAAGTCGGGACAAAGCCCCCCATCTTCTTTTTAAATTAAAACTTTCGCAGAAATGAATGATTAGCTCATTTGCCTCTGCTTCTCCCTGCAGTGAAATTATTAGAGACTCTGAGCGAATATGAGATCGCGTCTCCCATCCGAGTGAACACCCTCGGGGAACCCTTTCCCACGAACGTGCACTTCAAAAGAAGGCGACGAAGCATTAACTCTGCCTCTGACCCCTGGCCTGCCTTCGCCGCCTCCTCCTCGTCTTCCTCTACCTCTTCCCAGGCGCATTACCGCCTCTCAGCCTTCGGCCAGAAGTTTCTATTTAATCTCACCGCCCATACCGGATTTATCGCTCCACTGTTCACTGTCACCCTCTTTGGAGAGCCAGGGGTGAACCAGAGCAAGCTGTACTCCGAAGAGGAAATGGAACTTAGGCACTGTTTCTACAAAGGCCATGTCAATACCAAGTCCGAGCACACTGCGGTCATCAGCCTGTGCTCCGGAATGGTGAGTGGGCGCGTGCCCCTTTTCTCCTCCCCGCCTCCTCGTCTGCTTCTTTAAGACTTAATTGCACCCTAGTCTGAACCTACCGAGTCTATGCTCTGGCGTTAAATATCAACACTGGCTTACGTCCCGGGATTTGGTGGTCTACCGGTGGGGTGCGCTTACACTCGAGAAGAGAGTAGGCATCTGTCCCCAGAGGGTCGTGGATCTTTTGGAGCTGTCTTGGGGATGGATTGCGCTTGCTGTGCTTAGCCCAACTCTGCAGAGTAGCTTGCACGTCGGCTTACAAACTCAGAGAAAGTTGCTGGGGTTGTGGTTTCTTGTAGCAAACTTGGCCGCCCTGGAGCGGAGCAGCTGAGCGCAGGGCGGACCTAACTCCTCAGTGCTTCCTGAGTCAGGGATGTAAACTGACAATCCCAGGACACCCCTTCTGGAATGCTGGGATATCTCTTGCATTGAACGGGGGTACGTAACCTAGTGTCCTTGCGTTCTTTCCTCTCAGAGCCTTTTATCACGTGCAAGGAATTTTGAAACTGAACCAGATTGACAGGGAAGCTGATCCTGTCCCGGGAAAGGAAGGGTGAGCCAAGTACTCTGAGAGCTGGGAGTGAGGGCGGAGCTTGTCTCTAAGGCTGTGTTTGGGAGTGGAAGGACGCGGGGGAGGAGGGGGTGGTGCACTGCAGTCCGACTCTGCACCCTGCTGGCGTGGTGGCTGGAGGCGCTAGAGTAGTGAGAGAGAGACTGGAGTGGTAGGTAGCCTTTAGAAGAGTCCCATTCTTCTGGAACCCGTGGCAGTTCCAAAGGACAGGAATAGTAAAGTATGGCGCACGTTTCTCTAGGAAGGTTGAGTTCGACGGATACCACCCTGTGCTGCCAAGTGGGCACATAGTGGGAGATCCAAGTTGGTACCTCCACCCCCTGTTTCCTGACCCCTCCATTTACCCTAAATTGGAACTAACAAGGCATCCGCCCCCATTTCGTAAGACAATTAAGAGTGTCGTACAATTCTGGACCCAACTAGGGTGGTCCTTCTCTTCCCAAGCGACGTGCGTTTCTACCACGCGCTTATGACGCAGAAAGTTTCCCGCGGCTCGTTCTCCTAGCTCACTGCACCGCGCATTACGCACAATTGGCTATTAAAAGTCTGTGCACTTACTCTCTCCCCTTGGCACACACACACACACACACACACACACCCTCCTCCTCCTCTTTCTAAGTGGGGGCTTGGGTACTCACTCGAGCGCTAGGCTGCCACATTCGCTGGCTGGTTCTTGCGTCCAGGTCTGGAGGTTACATCCTTCTAAGCCTTCCAAAAACAGGATCCCGGCGGAAACTCTGCACTCCAGAAGACAGGGAGGAGGGGAGGTCTAGCCTACTGGGATCCTGGGAAGAGGATGAGCCCCCTTACCCACCAGCTAAGCTCTGGGAAGCCTGGTGCCCAAAGTGCCTGGTTGAGATTGATTGGGGGTAGGCGGAGACCGCTGTTTGGCAAGGGGAGGGGATGCTGCGTTGAGTCATCATGGACTCAAACCTGGGCCTGGGCGCTAGAATGGCTGCGATTTTTGAGAGGTTATCATCTAGGTAGGCTGAAAAGTCTTGAAGTGGATCCCAGAGAACCAGCGCACCCCCTATTTAAAGCTAGGGACCCCTAGTTCCTGGTTCTTAGATAAGGCTGCTGTGCACTTCGTTGGTAAACAGTCTTTACTCCTCCTCTTTCCCCGCCTACACACCGGTGGAATCCGAGTGGCCCCAGCAGTTGTATAAATATTTTTCTGCGTAGGACTTTAATTTCCATTGGTGGTTTTACATGGTAACACAATGCACGTGGTCTCCTTGAGAACTGAGAATCCGGGCTTCTTCTGAAAGGACTCCCTGGACTCTCCTAGCCCCATTTACAATGCGTGTAATTTGCAACGTGCCTTTTCTGGAGGGAAGGCTACATATATTTTTAAAATGCGCAAACTAGGTTTTTTTTTATCTGTGGCCACTAATCTAGCTCTTCCTACCTTGTTTGTCTCCTGGAATTTTTATTTCCTCCCAAGGCTCATCTTTATCATTTCTGTAGCAGTCCCTACATGATGATGTTCCTGACTGCCCAAGGCGGCTTCCAGGAAATCTGCCCTCTTTAGAGTGATTCAAAACTATGCACCCACCACACACTCCCCACACCCGCCAGTTTTGTTTTTCTGAATGCCATCTTATACATTGCTCTCCTTTGCTGAGAGAATGTCTGGACCTCAGTCCCTGCCTCTCTTCCTCTCCATAGGACCACTGTCTGAGAAAACCTCCATCTACCCTCTTCTCTCCCAGCCATTTTTCTCAATCCCTGCCACACACCGGTAGCAGGTCAGTAAGTGGGCCATAAGAGCTCATTGACACCATTGTTCACATAGCCTACACATGTCCTCATATTCTAGTGAACAGTACCTAATTCCACAGCTGTTCTTTAAGATCCTAACATTATGTCACCTCACCCATAGCCCAATGTCCAATTTCATCTTAGTCTCTTCTTCTGAAATTCCCTATTTCACGTAGTCAGCTTTATGCTTTCTCTAAATTCTCTTTAATCTCCTGTGCTCAGTACATATATTGCCCACTGTGTGTGTGTGTGTGTGTGTGTGTGTGTGTGTGTGTGTGTGTGTGTGTGTGTGTGCTTTGCTAATAATTGAACTCTGGGTCTTGTATTTGCCAGCAAGAGAGCTACATTTCTGTGTCAACTTTTTTTTTCTTTTAAAACGTTGTTTCATTTCTACTTCCCCACAAGACTCCATAGTTTTCCATGTGGTTTCAGCCCTCTGCTCCAAAATCATAGACACTGTCTCTCTTCAGATGTTCACTGTGCGTGTGTTCTCCTCTTCTGTCCTAGGCATTTGCACCAACACCTATCCATTCCACTCACATGCTATAGTATATAGACAGTACATGGTGTGTTTATATACATAATAATGTACACATATGTAAACAAATGGTCACCTCAGCCAGCACAAGATAAGTTGGGTCCCAGTGGTTATTTCTGAACCAACAACAAAATTCATTTTGTCTCCATATTATTACCCTTTATTGAGCTTTTGCTGCAGGCTCTGTGATACAGTGACCTCAGAGCTACCCATTTCGCTGGTAAGAATGCCTGGGCCTTCAGAACAACCATCTTGCCCCAGGCCTCATGCTGATAGGTGACCAAGTTGTCATTTCACCTCAGCCTTTCTTATCCATACTCTTAACCATAGGCCAGAGGCCCAGTTCCCATTCCTCGGGAAAATGACTGGATTCGGTTTTTTTCAGACACTGATGTGAAATCAGGATTGTGAGTTCAAGAATTGCCATTAACACTAAGCTGCTCTGTACCACTGAAGGGCAACTTAGGACACATCACTACCTTTCTGTGCCTCATGGGTTCCTTTCACTAGTCCTGTCTCCCATAGACCTTCCTTGCCCTGTGCTTAGAAAATACCAGTTACATACTGACCACAGACAGAGGTGCTTTGGTGAGCACAAATGCGCTAACTTGCTGCTTCTCTGGTGATCTGTCAATCTGTCAGACTATACGAAAACTGACTTCTGCCTGAGTCTAAGAGCTTGAATCCCGAGGGGAGCTGCTTTAAAAAGTCGAGTTCTAGACATCACACCCAGAAAATTTGAATCTGTAACTATAGAGTGGCATCCCAAATTTCATCAGAAAAAAAAATAATAATTCTCCCAGGCTTTCTTGATCCCCGTTGGTTTTGAAAAGCAGTGCCTTAGCCTGGCGCCTTTTCTTATATAAGAACCATGGGAGTGTCTTAAAATTCTGATTCTCGAACTGATCGTAGAAATTTGGGCACAGTGCAGCAAATGTGAGGCAGAGGTCTTGGCTCTCTAATCGGATCTGGAGGATGCTGGTGCAGGTCACCCCGCATCTCTTCAGGGGTGATCTTTTCTCCTGTGCCCAGGAAATGAGAGAAGGCTTCTGGTTGTTTTCAGTGCAGGAAGAGAGAAGAACTGGGTGTCTCCTCTGAGACAGGGCCTATTGGGCGCTTTCAATGTTCATATGAATGGTTCAAGCTTGAGGCACTGTGGATCATTTGCAAAACTTGTAGATACGTGAAGAGGGGAGGGAGGGAGATGGCCTTTTGCAAGGTGTCCATAGTGCTTGGCAAGAGCAAACTGACCTAAAACTAATGAGCTACACCAAAATCCACTGATCACTTCAAAGCCTTAGAAGGTTCTTGCACTGGGCTACGTGCATGGCGGGTAGTATCCTATTTAACCTTCACAGGTTAACTTGAAGAAGGAACTTTATCTCCAACTGACCAAATGTGAAAGCTCAGACCAGCAAGGAAAGTCGCTCAAGGGGGGTAGGTGTGGTGCTGGGAGCGCACGTAACAGAGTACTACAGCACTGCCTCTCGGGATATCACTCTGCCTTGGCAAAGGGGACCAGAAGAGACCGTGTCAGGGTTACAGGCAACACCACCTTGAAGGCACTGTGGCTATCCTGTACCTGGTGAATGTGAAAGGAGACAGTTTGGGCCAGCCAGCTTGTCCCTCAGCTATGCATGGGTGTTCGTGGATTTCTAGGCAGCCTGAGCACTCAACTGTTAGAGCCTGCTGGAGGAAGAATAAGAGATCTGGAACTTAAGCACCAAGGAAAAGCTGGACTTGGAAAGCAGGTGTAACACATCATCAAGGAAAGAATTAGCTTCCAATATGGCAGAGAGTGAAGATAAGCCACAGCTGCTCCAGGGTACCTCAGCCCTCTCAGGGAGGGGCCCCCGAGCAAACAGCTCCTTCTCCTACCTGGGATTACCTCATTCTTTGTGTTGTGTTCTTGTCCCTCCCATTGGCTGAGCTGTGTTCAATCAACCTCTCCTCTTTCTGCACAGATGGGCACATTCCGGTCCCACGACGGAGATTATTTTATTGAACCACTGCTGTCTGTGGATGAGCAAGAGGATGAAGAGGAACAGAACAAACCCCACATTATTTATAGGCGCAGTACCCCTCAGAGGGAGCCCTCAGCAGGAAGGCGTGCCTGTGGCACCTCAGGTATTTGCTTCTTGGTTAACTGCAGATGCTGTGTGGACAAGGGTTCATTGCCACGCTGCAGGAACGCAGCAGCTTTTCTGCTGTTTGCAGAACACCACCATGTACAATATGGTTTATTGAGTTCTTCGGTAAGGTAGGTACAGCCCCTTGTATAGACAGAAACTACAGAGGGGGTTAGTAGTTAGTAGTTAGTAGTAGGGGTTAATATCCAAGGTTGCACAGCTAAGAATGTACAGTGAGCCTTCGAAATGAGAAAGCAATAACTTGATTCCATCTGGAGGCAAAGCTGCCTCTTGTGTGGTTGATACTTAGAACAAAGCTGGAGTCTGAACCTGTAACTTCAGTGAGCGGTTGTTTGTATTTTCTTGATGTCGTCTATTCATTTGGTTTCACTTTTGTTTTGTGTCACATTTATAAGATAAGCATACTGCACAGGGTTTTGTTGTTGTTGTTGTTGTTGTTGCTGCTGTTTGTTTGTTTGCTAATTGTATAATAGAATTCACAAAGCCTGCTGTGTGTTTATTGGTTTGGCTCATGTCCTGTGGTTTTTGGAAACCCAGAAATGGATCTGTGAGCTTCCTTCTAGGTTTCAGTCCCAAGAGTACATTATAAGCCCGCTGCTGGATTTCACTGCATTCTGGGCGCATCATCACAGGTTTTTGGCTGATCTATGGGTCCATCCTTAGGGATGCATTTTCGTGGGCATCTGAGGAAACTGATGCTTGTCTGTGGCCTTCAGCTTGCAGCCTTGTAGCACCCCTCACTGACCTCTAGGCCTGGCTACTGTCCACCTGCTGGCAGCTTACCATTGAGTAGCATCTTGTGTGCTGAGATGTTTGTTACAATGTTTTTAAAATTCCATTGACCGCTGGCTTATGGAACTATTTCTTTCTTCATAAAAAAACTGCATCAACAAAGTAGCTATTCAGTTTTCTGGTATCTCCTATAATACTAAGACTAACATGGAGTTGCTTTAAATGCTTCCCCAAGGAGTTGTCAGCATCATCTTCCATGTGTGGCAGGATTTTTCACAGTGATGGTATCTCATGTCTTCATCCCTGTTAGAGGTATTATTTCTAAAGCGAATCCTAAAAGATAATGATAACTACTTATAATCTGAAAGTAGTCAACAGCAAGAGTATAGAACTATAGGTCTTGGCTTATTGCATCCATTTTTGTGTTCTCACCCTCAGAGCAAGGTGGGATATAACTGAAATCATTGTTACTTAGTCTTTTTAAAGGAATGAAGAAGCCAGATGTGGTGGCACACACCTGGAGGATCACGAGTTCAAGGCTAGCCTGGGCTACTTTGTGCCTGGTCTATGTATTGAGACTTTGTCTACAAAGGAAAAAGGCAAAAAGAAGAGTCCAAAAGTTGGCATTGGGTAGTTTTCCTCAGAAATGATAGTCCTAGGAGCTGGAGTAGTGGCGAGCCTGCCAGCTGCCAACTAGTTTAATAGTTGGGACATTTGTCTTAGTTTTATTTTTAGGCTTATTTTAATTTCTCAAATATGTATTAGCAAGTACATATTTTATATATGGTATAGAAAGGAAATACATGATTCTCCCTTCTGTCTTATTAATGTGTTAAAAGGACATGGACATGGTACTAGTGTTTAATGCACTGAACACTTAGTCTATGTTCTGATGTTCTTCTCACTAATTAAAACAAAGAAACCAACCAACCCATGTCTCTCAGGCAAATTGGATGGAGTCATATTGGCAGTTTTAGTAAGGGTCCAAGCAACTGGGATATTCAGGTAAATTCAAGTGTCATTGCTAACGTTGAATTTAAGGCACTAGTCATTGCCTGACACACGCGGCTCATACCTTTGGGACTTTACTTCCTAATGGCAGTTTTTCCTGCTCTTTCCTAGTAGGGCAGTAGAGTATTAGAACTGGAAGGCTCTTCAGTTGACACGTCTAATTCAACACTTGAGTTGCAGATGGAAGAGGAAGTCAGAGGGCAGGGTGTGGAGTTAGTTGCTTATTTTCAGGAACAGTACACCACATATTTAACACCTGTTGGAACTTTTCCTTGCCTGAGTCTGGGGGTGGCCTCTGGAAGCCCCACACAGAGTACATGTCACACTTTAGTTGCTGGATTGTGGGATTCTCAGCAGGACAGGCTACTCTGGCTGTTGCACTGCTGTGTACAGATGGGATGCAGGCCTTGTTTCTGATTCTTGATGCAGGTCTCATTTTCAGAAAAGAGTCTGAGATACTGTATTCAAAAAATGTGTGAAGGAGTCTAATGTGCTGGAAGCCAAGGACTTCCAAAGGAAGGTGGAGCTTTGTATGCATTTTTAGTCACTGAGCCATCAAGCACTTACTGAGCAACTCTTCCATGGCATGATGAGAAAACTAGAAGCCATCACCATTCTATTGCATATGACCTGAGTCACATTATAGACTATCAGCTAAAAATAACGTGAACTCGCCGAGGTATGTTCAGAACTGAGCATGAAATAATGAAGATCCTGGGACAGGGGTTAGCAGATGGTAGCATTCACAGGATGGAAGATGAAAAAGAAAGGTCATGAAAATAGGGAAGATAGCATCATGGTAAGGGAAGGGAAACTGGGAACACCAAACCAGATGTAATCACTCGTAGCTTTGCAGTAAACACACTGTAAATCGATAATGAGACTTGCCCAAAGCCTTTGTGACCACCAGTGGTGGGACTGAGAGCACTTCCTGTCTACTTATTTCCTCTTCATCTAGTGTAGCATTTTGTTGATGGGAAGCTTCTCTTGGCCTAGTGTCTGCCCTTTCTGGCTCAGCTTTGTTTTGAGGTCATTGTATATATACGGTGACTGCTTGGATGTATCCCCATGTTTTGTCCTTTCGTTCTGGTTCCAAGGCCATCGGGATTCATAATGGAGAGTAGTAGGGTGTTGTCTTCCTGTGACATGCCTTTGTGAGAGCAGAGACAGGTTTACTGAGCTCTCTGTCCACCTGACCTTTATCCCAGGGGCCCCTGTGGCAGGCTGGGGGAACCCTCAGAAAGGGCATTGCTTTTGTGAGTCATTTCCACTGCATGCTTCCAGGTAAAAACACATCCTGTTTTCTCTCTCTCTCTCTCTCTCTCTCTCTCTCTCTCTCTCTCTCTCTCTCTCTCTCTCTCTCTCTCGTGTGTTTGTGTGTGTGTGTGTTTATGTGTATGTTTGGGGTGTGCACATGTGTGTGCAAATAAATGTGAAGGCTAGAAGCTAACTTCAGGTGTTTTCCCCCAGTGCTCTCCTTATTTCTTCAAGATGGGGTCTTGTTCATCACCATCGTGGGGAGGACATATTATCCCTGTTTAACAATTGAGAAAAAGCATAGATCAGACAAGTTGAGCAACTTTCCAAAGTCACACTGATGGTAGGAAATGGGCCGACACTTCCATTTCTTCTATACTTGGAGCCAGATTTGGCTGAAAACACAAACAGAAGCTGCATTCTAGAAATTCTTTTCCTCCCCACTTCAGTGAGACAGGTTATTCCTACATAGCCTAACCTCACCTTGAGCCTCTGCTCCTCCTCCCCCAGCATCCCATGACTGAGATTACAGGTGGGCACCGTCATACCCAGCTAGCAAATCCTTTTTGATTTCAATTTGCAGAGCATCTTCTTTGGTTTGCATCTAATGTCCAATTTTCAAGCAAGTTTCCTATAGCTTATGTTGACCACGCATCCTACATGGTTCCAAGTCTTTACATGGATTATATGAGGTTTTGTTTGTCTTTCATTTTTATTACTATATGTTAATTATACTTAGTAGGTATTGTTATGATATGTAATACAGTGATATTTATCCCCCACTTACACTCTGTTGTCCCTCACTCTCCTGCTGATCCCTTTCCTTTTCCCAACTAGTCCCTCTTCTACTTCCATGCCCCACAACTCTGTTTTGCAATGACCCAGTGAGTTTTATTAGGGTTGCTTACAGAGGGTGAAGGAAGGGTGGGTTGCAGGAGATTGAGCACCTTATCAGTGGGTCCACCATTGAAGTAAATGTTTCTCCTTCAACCCTCCCAACCATTAACTGAGCACACACACACCCCCAGGCAGGGGTGGGGCCTTGTGAGCTACTCCTGTGGATTACATGTTTTAAATCTTCAAACAATTTCTGTTTGTTAGTGAGAAAACTGAAACACAGGACTTCACAGAGTAGAGCTGCCCAGGGTCACAACACTCATAAGCATCGAATTTTCCCTAAGCCTTAGGGCTGGTCTAGTTAGAAGACTTCTTCTAGGCCTGCTCCTTTGTGGATTCAAGGGCATTCATAGGAATTACAGTTCTTGGACAGACTGTTGACTTGCCTGCCTAGAGTCTGGTTTGATTTGAGGGCCTCTGTGCTCCAACTTCTCACCGACTCTAATGACACCCAGTGGATTGGTGACTCCAGCATGCCCCTGTTGGAGTGTCTGCTCGTTACAGATTAACTTCCAGGATCCCAGTACAATTTAGCATCAATCCACTGATTAGATTAGCAGCCCTCTGAGCTGGGCCCCAAAGCAGTGAGAGTTGTCACTCGGGATTCCCCCAGGGGACTTTCTATGAACAACCCCAAGGCAGCTGGCCAGTGTCTGGGTGAATGGTGGTCCCTGGTGGGCCAATCAGTGTCTTGGGCTGGAGCCAAACTGACTTTCCATTAGTGCACATTTCTGCAGCCCCCTTTCCTCTCCGTCTCTCATCCTGTGAAACAGGAACAGGCAACTTCTAATGCACGGGCACCCTCGGATCACTGTGCAGATCTCCAGATAAGTCACTGCGCAGTAGTACAATGGGGGACTTTGGATGATTTGGATGAATGATTTCTTCTTTTATTTGTTCTCACAGGATCATTATCTAACCCAGGCTGGACTCCCAGTTTGATCTCTCACTCTTAGACCCCAAAGTCTAAGATTGTAGGTGTGCCCTACCATATCTGGCTCCATTTTGTTGCTCTAAAACAATTATTATGAACATATTCAAGTGTACGTAAATAGAGGGGATAGCAAAATGACCACCATG